TGGAAGGCCAAACAAAGTAGTTTCGCTTTCACAACGAAACACAGCGTCACACACAGCGGCCTAGAGTGAGCGGCGGCCGGGGGCTAGCGTGAGGAACGGCCGGAGGGTTAGAGTGAGCAGAGACGGCGGGGCTTGAGAACGGCGCGGCCAGTGATTTCGACGAAGGAATGTCCAGAAGGACATGTGACGACTCCGGGCTGGACTCCGCTTCGTCCACGGTGAAAGCCGATCTGGCGAAAGGAAAAATTTAAATCGCATCATATGACCCCTTTAATGAAACATACAGTAAAAACTGTAATATTGAGAAATATTATTACAATTTAAAACAACTCTTTTCTATTTGAATGTATTTTACAATGTAATTTATTCTTGTGAAGGCAAAGCTGAATTTTCAGAAGTCTTCATTGTCACATGATCCTTCAGAAATCATTCTAATATGCTGGTTATTCTAATATGCTAATATGCTCAAGAAACATTTCTTATAATTTCTTATTATCATTTTTAAAAATGGCTGTTTTGTTGAATATTTTTTGAAAACCATGATATTTGATATTTTTAGGCATCTTAGATCAAAAAGTTCAAAAGAACAACATTTTGTTGTTTGTAACATACATTAAAAATTGACCCTCACGATCAATGTCTTTCTGAAAAAGCAAAAGTAAAAACAAATCTTACTGACCCTTAAACTTTTTAACAGTAGTGTAAATCACGGGGTCTTTGTAACCCCATACATAAAAAATCATAAAGGATAATCTGGAAAAGAACAGGGCTAATAAAGTCATGCCTTTTGTTAACTGTGTATTTCAATGTAAAATTGGAGCAGTGAATCACATTCTCATGCTGATTCATATGAATTCTAATGGTCTGATATGATGTTTGCTTTAAACATATGACTGTACCATCAGCCTTTGGCATTTAAACTGTAATTATGTGGTAAGAATCATGATCTTAAGCGGCCCATCAAATCCAAGTCACACTTTATTTCACAGCTTTTCCAGGAAGTCTCGATCAGTGCTGCTTGGCACACAGAGTATATACACAGCAACAAGCACACAATATTGGCACACAGAGCTGTACTTGAACTCCCCAAGAGCGTTTCTGGCTGCTGGACATGTAAGGAGGCTGAAGACAAAGGTAGTGTGACTTGACAGACTACTGAAAACACGAACACAAACTTACACTCCTTCGCTAACACTAATGTTGCACTCATGGCTATTCAATAATAAGCACTGGTACACCTGTACAGTTTTCTTTCTCAGTGCAAACAACTCTCTTCTGATGCTTTACCCTTAAATTTATAAGCATCTAAACTATCAAAAGTAATAGTTCACGCAAAAATGAATGACTTCCAAACATGTATGACTTTCTTTATGGAACATAAAAAATAAGATATTTTGAGAAATGTCTCAGTGTTTTTTTTTGTGCAAGTCAATAAAAGTCCATAGGGTCTAAAGAAAGCTGCAAAGAAACTTTCAACTTATGGACAAAAGCAAAATTGTTTTTCATGATATCTTTTTTGTGTTCAGCTAAAAAATTACTTGAGGATGAGTAAATCATGACAGAATTTTCATTTTTTGGTGAACTATCATTTCAAACATAAGACCAATAATCACAAAGAGGCCAAATCTCTCAAGAACAATAAGTCAACGTGTATAAAGGAAAATATATTTAAAGTCAATCTGAATTGGTTTCGCAACCCTTTTTATCTTCATAATTCAACACATTTCTGATCTAGAAAGACTATCTGATGAGGGGTAAAACGTGATTTTATCAATTGAGAATTAATTGGATTGTGATAAGTAGGTATTTCATACCAGAATGGAGGCAGACCGAATGAGAGTTTGCTAAAATGTGTCTACATACCTTTTTGGCTATTGGCTATTTAAACATGATCAAATAGGTTGAATGGCCTGATGTCATCACAACAGGAAAGCCGTTTCCATTAAGAATAAGTAATGATATTTTAATTCAAGATTACAAAGGCCAACATTTTTTCGATGAAATAAGAGCAGAAATGTGAAAGTAAAAAGGGTCAATGTTGGTTACATGTTGATTTTAAATAACATCAACAGGCAAAGCAAAGCCGTCATGCATGAAGTGATGTAGAGAGAAGAGGGCTGTAGAGCAGCACACTCTTGAAGGTTATATTCAGAGAGCAGTCATGTAGTCTTGTCCAGCAGAAAGCCTCATTATTACCTTCCTCAAAGATTTATGTACAGACAAGCCTAGACCATGACTCAGAGTGATAGGTTTCTACTTTGATAGCTTTCTACTTCGACGGATCAATCCCTCGTTGATATTAAGCAAATAACTCATGAGAATCTTTTTGAGGTTTAAAGTGGATCAAAAATGGCTGTGGGTATCTGTGCACTGGGTGACAGTGACATACACTTCAATTAAATTAATACTGAAAAGTCAATCACTGGATTTGTGTAATCTGCCATGGCCACATCTATTGGATTGCGCCCATCCCTTTCAATTAAAGATGAGGATCTTCCCATCACACTGCAGTCATGTCACCTCTCTGCATTCCCTGGGGCAGGAGATTAATCAAAGTTTGAAAAGACATTATGAAGTACATTATTTCGCTCCCAGTCAAGCAGTGTCAGGGCTGCCAAAACCAAAATGGCATGGAATTAAAATGAATCCGTCCAGAGGACAAAGGCAAGGAAAGAGAGGGAAGATAAGGAGGAAAACGAGGAAAACAGAGGAAGAGGATAAGCAAAAGGAACAAGCCATCACCATGTTTTGGGAGTATATGATGTACATTTGAATAACAGGGTGTGTTTTAAACTCCACAGGGTGTTTTGTTGAGCTCACTGTACTCGTGTAAGGCTGGAGGCTTCTTGTTTGAATTGACTTTGATTTCCCCTCAAAAAGCCTTTTAAAGCTGCTTTGTGTGTGAGGTGAGACAACAGTCTGTTCAGAGCATCTTGACTGACATAACAGACGGGCTGATTACAGCTTTATGAGTGAATACACTGCACCCCAATATATATATATTTTCATAATTTTAAGGCTTCTAGATTCTTTCCTTTATGTAAGGGACAGATTTATTTATGTTATCTGTATTGGTAACATTATTTCAATGACACTAACAGCATTAGCCAATTATTCTGTTCCGTGTCAACAGCTTGCAATACTGAGACATTTATACTTAACAGAATAGACTGCTTTCATTGAACTGCAATATAAGGTAATCAATATGATTGCCCATCTTATTTTGAATTGACAAGTGAGTAATTAGACAATTTAGCCCTGATCTATTGGTTATATGACAGCTGCAATCATCATGCTGCCTATGTAAAAGATTCGATTTGCGAAAAAATCATTTAAACAGTTAGGACTGAACTAAATACTGTAGTATAAAAATAAATTCTGGTGACAGACTAAGGTTAGTAGTGCTTCCAATGTGTCACATTAAATAATCCTCAGTTTAATCATCAGTTAGATACATCAAAACCGGTTCTTCTATGGCATCACTGTGAAAACCCCCTTTTCCAGAAAAGCAAGTCTACTAGAATCTAGACAGACAGACAGACAGACAGACAGACAGATAGATAGATAGATAGATAGATAGATAGATAGGAAAGCACGTAAGTTGGACCCCTTGGATAAATCTCTTACCTTCTAGACAGCAGGTTCTCCACAGTCCGGAGTGGGTCATGACTTCCTCATTCTTCCTGCTCGTCTCGTTCTCGTTATTACTTTTGACCCGGCACACTCCTCGTGAGTACAGCCAGTAGTCCGTTCCCACAGCGATAGTCATCAGGCTGAACGCGGCGAACGCGCCCACTGTGGTGATGAGCATTTGGACTCCTCTGTCACACATCAACATTTTGCCTCATTTCAGGATGGGGAGTCAAAACAGGGTTCTTAGCGTGTCTCGTAAAACCTCCTAGCCTGCCTGGTGCGCGGACTCCATGCTCCAATCGACTTCAGAAGCCCATAACATTATTATGTGCTGATTTCTGTGGTGTCGAGACTGTTGCAGTCGCTGTTGCTGCTTCTCAAGTTCAGTAAGAAACCTCACAGTGTTTCCATCGCTTAAGCGGAGAGCTATTTGTTTGTCATTCTGGGTTGTGAAAAAACTGTTTTCGAGGAACAGTCTCTCATCAGCACCACAGCATTTTGCAATTGAGGCACCGGGCTAAACGAATGACACGTTTCGCCTGTGACTTCACAAGAACATCTTTGTTCCCCGAAAACGGCAATAAACCAGTAATTTTGCACGGAGAGAAAGTATCAAAAATAATGTCCTTTGTTAATCCAGCGGGAAATACCTTCGTTCAACGGATGCATCCGATATTTTTCTCTAAAACACAAGAGAGGAGTAAAATATCCCACTTCATGATCAGCTTAATTGTGTCTGTCCAAAATTCCCCTTCAGATCTGGCGAATCTAAAGAAAATGTCATTTGATTATATGCGGAGCAGCATGTTATGAAGGCACCTATCAAGAAGTGATCGTTTAAATGAACATAATCCCAGCACTTGTAATTGCTGTCAACGGTGATGCTGGTCTCCGCAAATGTGTTTTACAGCAATGACAGCTCCCACGTTCCTCGCGAATCCGCTCGTTTGAAACACCGCCCACAGAGGGAGCGGAGCGGAGCGCGCTGGCTGCTCTCCGCGCTACTGAATGGACGAAGCCTCTCGTCTAATCTCGGAGTTTCTCCCCGCACAGCGCCCCTGGCTCAACCAATGTGCTACTTACGGCCTTCATATGCAAAGATATGGGCAAGAAGCGATGCATGAAAAATCGGACCCTGGAGAACAGGAACGTCCTTAAAGAGCCACAGACGTTTTCGATGATTTCCTCCATGGAGACCTTCACATGGGCAATTCCGGAGAGTTTTATACATCACTAAATTCATAGGGATATGTTGATGACAGTACAATCAAAAGTTGCACGATTTGCATTGATTTGGTTTTTGAATTGGGGAACCACAAAAAAAAAATATTTTTCAGATTCTGTTCTAAAAAAAATCCTGGATCTACAGCGCGAAATGTAGCAACTAGCGAATGAATCTTTTCTCGGTTCTTTCTAGTGATTAAGTAAACATGCTTGACCAACATGCTCCAATTCTCAGAGAAATTACTCTTATGTGCCGATTCTTTTTAGTAAATCAACCACAAATGCTGAATTTAATCGGTGACTGACTCACTTGACCGTATCAAAACCAAAAAACTTTTTAGGTATTATGCCGTGAGACTTGGGGTACATTTACACGACAAAGATGTACTAAAAACAGAAAAGCTTTTCCTTTGCGTTTTTGAAAAGTTTTGCAAACAAATGACAAGGCTGTCAAAATGATACCGTTCACATGAATTGGCGAAAACGACTAAAAACATTGTAAGCTACTATGCATGCCAGACCAGTAGTTGGCGATGTCACATTAAACACTACGCACCTTTACAAAGAGACGATAACGGTATCATTTTTAAAAACTTGCACTTTTTTTCACAACCATTTTGAAAAGAGTGTGTTTTCAGGCCCCCAAAACGCAGTTGTCATGATGGCCAAAACACATAAAAAATTTTCTGTTTTTAGTTGAAAATGGTGTAATGAAAATATCCCCCTTAAATAGCCAGGCTATTGTTCATACTTACTTTTAAAACAAACATTTCTCCCTCAAATGTAGTAAATGAGTGGTTAAGAAAGATAAATCATTAAGAAGAATCTGAATTGGATCCATTTAGTATTGGTCAATGAGGTATTTTATTTTCAAGGAGGGTGATTAATATTCATCAAATTTTAGTTACTAATAAAAATTTGCTGCAGATTTGTTATATATTTGCTGACAATTATGCTCACACAGATGATGTCTCCCTGATATCAACAGGCTTTAATTAACAATGTATTATAATCGCTCAGATCACCAACACTACAAGTCAATTTACTAAATCTACAAAACAAATCACGGAATGTCATTATCAGAGTACAACCATTATAATAATTTATATGTGAATGGATTCATGAATGCTTCATGCAGTGAAATCTTAAAGCTGATTGGCTTGAACAGTTTATCTTTGACCATGATTGGTCCATGATATATCCTGATTGTATATATTTATTTGGAAGCAGGAGAATTTAGGCCTCCGTTATGCCTTTTCGGCCATATTGTATATGGAAATAAAAGACATTTGATCATTTATATCATTTGAATATCCATTCTGATTGGATATCCACTCTAATATTTGTGCAATGATTAAAACCATCCTGGGCTACCTACTGCCTAAAAGAAAATCAATATTCATATATTTTGTACAAAATATATTGCAGATGAGTCATGTGTCCCATGGACAATAGAGTGCAGTACAGATGCTGTATTTTTGTAGGCCAAAACCTGGAAACGAGTTAGCATTTTAGCAGTTCTGGTTCCAACGGTCTGAGGTCAATGTGTTTTCAAAGGATTTTAGCCTGAAATAAAGCCTAGGATTAATACAAGCTCAAGATATTTTCATGTTTTATTCTAAGACATAAAATACATAAGAAACACCCCTTTGTGATTATAGCTTAATTTGTCTTTAAAAAAGTGTTTGTAAAAAGTGTCTAAATGAGACTATAGTGTTTTTTTGGGGATATTAAACATCATGATGCCAAACAGGAAAACTCATCCACACTTCACAGCCTCTTTGTGTTTGTAATTGCACTCCTGGAAAGTTTTCTAGCTCCAACTATGAGGATTTTTTTTTTTTTAAAGGGGTCATATGATGCTTTTTAAAGATCATTATTTTGTGTATTTGGTGTAACAGAATATGTTGACATGTTTTAATGTTCAAAAAAAACATTATTTTTCAAATACTGTACATTATTGTAGGCCCTCTATGCCCCGCCTCTCTCAAACACTTCGTTTTCTACAAAGTCCCTCCTTCCGACAAGCGCAGTCTGCTCTGAATGGCAGCTGACCCAGTGCATTGTGATTGGCCGAACACCGCAAGCACTCGTCGGAAATGTAACGCCCCTTACCATAATCGCGAGCGTCAGCTTTCAAAATAAATGTAAAGACAGAGCC